CATTCATGATTTGGCTCTCTGCTTGTCATTTGTGTATAGGAATGCTCATGATTTGTGCACACTGATTTTGTATCCTGAGACTTTGCTGAAGTTGCTTATTAGCTTACGAATTTTTGGGCTGAGACGATGTGGTTTTCTAAATAGACAATCATGTCATAGGCAAACAGACAATTTGACTTCTGCTTTTCCTATTTGAATATCACTTATTTATTTCTCTTGCCTGATTAGCCCTGGCCAGATCTTCCAATACTATGTTGAATAGGAGTGGTGAGAGAGAGCATCCTTGTCTTGTGCCGGTTTTCAAAGGTAATGCTTCTAGCTTTTGCCCGTTCAGTATGATATTGGCTATGGGTTTGTCATAAATAGCTGTTTTTAATTTGAGATATGTTCAATCAATGCCTAGTTTATTGAGAGTTTTTAGCATGAAGCGATGTTGAATTTTATTGAAGGTCCTTTCTGCACCTATTGCGATGATTATGTGGTTGTCATTGGTTCTGTTTATGTGATGGATTACATTTACTGATTTGCACATGTTGAACCAGCCTTGCATCCCAGAGATGAAGCCAACTTGATCGTGGTGGATAAGCCTTTTGATGTGCTGCTGGATTCAGTTTGCCAATATTTTATTGAGAATTTCTACATCAACGTTTATCAGAGCTATTGGCCTGAAGTTTTCTTTTTTTGTTGTATCTCTGCCACATTTTGGTATCAGGATGATGCTGACGTCACAAAATGAGTTAGGGTAGAGTTTCTCTTTTTCAGTTGTCTGGAATAGTTCCAGAAGGAAAAATACCAGCTCCTCTGTGTACTTCTGGTAGAATTCAGCAGTGAATCCGTCTGGTTTTGGGCTTTTTTTTTGGTTGGTATGCTATAAATTACTGCCTCAATTTCACAACTTGTTATTGGTCTAATCAGGGATTTGATTTCTTCCTGGTTTAGGAAGAGTGTATGTGTCCAGGAATTTATCCACTTCTTCTAGATTTTCTAGTATAGTTGCATAGAGGTGTTTATAGTACTCTCTGATGGTAGTTTGTGTTTCTGTGGGACCAGTGGTGATATTGCCTTTATCAATTTTTATTGTGTCACCTGGTCCTTCTCTCTTTTATTCTTTATTAGTCTGTGTAGTGGTCCATCTATTTTGTTAATCTTTTCAAAAAACCAACTCCTGGATTCACTGATTTTTTGAAGGGTTTTTCGTGCCTCTATCTCCTTCAATTCTGCTCTCATCTTAGTTATTTATTGTCTTCTACTAGCTTTTGAATTTGTTTGCTCTTGCTTTCCTAGTTCTTTTAATTGTGATATTAGGGTGTCGATTCAAGATCTTCCAAGCTTTCTGATGTGGGCACTTCATGCTATAAATTTTCTTCTTCACACTGCTTTAGCTGTGTCCCAGAGATTCTGGTATATTGTCTCTGTTCTCATTGGTTTCAAAGAACTTCTTGATTTCTGCCTTAATTTTGTTATTTACCCAGGGGTCATTCAGGATCAGGCTGTTCAATTTCCATGTAGTTGTGCAGCTTTAAGTAAGTTTCTTAATCATGCATTCTAATTTGATTGCACTGTGGTCTGAGAGACTTGTTATGATTTCCGTTCTTTTGCACTTGCTGAGGAGTGTTTTACTTCCAATTATGTGGTCGATTTTAGCATAAGTGCCATGTGGCACTGGGGAGAATGTATATTCTGTTGATTTGGTGTCAATAGTTCAGTAGATGTCTATTAGGTCTACTTGCTCCAGAGCAGAGTTTGAGTTCTGAATATCCTTGTTAATTTTCTGTCTCGTTGATCTAACATTGGCAGTGGGTTGTTAAGGTCTCTCATTATTATTATTGTATGGGAGTGTAAGTCTCTTTGTAGGTCTCTAAGAACTCGTTTTACAAATATGGGTGCTCCTGTATTCGGTGCATATATATTTAGGATAGTTAGCTCTTCTTGTTGTATTGATCCCTTTACCATTTGTGTTTTTTGATCTTTGTTGGTTTAAAGTCTATTTTGTTAGAGACTAGGGTTGCAACCCCTGCTTTTTTTTTGCTTTTTGTTTGCTTGGTAAATATTCCTCTACCCCTTTATTTTGAGCCTATGTGTGTCTTTGAACGTGAGATGGGTGTCCTGAATACAACACACCAAGGGTTCTCGACTCTTTATCCGATTTGCCAGTCTGTCTCTTTTAATTGGGGCATTTAGCCTATTTACACTTAAGGTTAATATCGTTTTGTGCAAATTTGATCCTGCCATAATGATGCTGGCTGGTTATTTTGCACATTAGTTGATGCAGTTTCTTCCTAGGGTCATTGGTCTTTATATTTTGGTATGTTTTTGCAGTAGCTGGTACTGGTTTTTCCTTTCCATACTTAGTGCTTCCTTCAGGAGCTCTTGCAAGGCAGGCCTGGTGGTGACAAAATCCCTCGGCGTTTGCTTGTCTGGAAAGGATTTTATTTCTCCTTTGCTTATGAAGCTTAGTTTGGTTGGATATGAAATTCTGGCTTGAAAATTCTTTTAAGAATGTTGAATATTGGTCCCCACTCTTTTCTGGCATGTAGGGTTTCTGTAGAGAGATCTGCTGTTAGTCTGATGGGCTTCCCTTTGTAGGTGACCTAACCTTTCTCTCCAGCTGCCCTTAACAGTTTTTCTTTCATTTCAACCTTGGAGAATCTGACGATTATGTGTCCTGGGATTGATTTTCTCATGGAGTATCTTAGTTGTGTCCTCTGTATTTCCTGAATTTGAATGTTGGCCTGTCTTGCTAGGTTGGGGCACTTCTCCTGAATAATATCCTGAAGTGTGTTTTCCAGCTTGGTTCCAGTCTCCCCATCACTTAAATTGTAGATTTGGTCTTTTCACATAATGCCCTATTTCTTGGAGGCTTTGTTTGTTCCTTTTCATTCTATTTTCTTCAATCTTGTCTGCACACCTTATTTCAGCAAGGTGGTGGTCTTCAATCTCTGATATCCTTACTTATGCTTGATCGATTTGGCTATTAATACTTGTGTATGCTTTACAAAGTTCTTGTGGTGTGTTTTTCAGCTCCATCAGGTCATCTATGTTCCTCTCTGAACTGGCTATTCTAGTTAGCAGTTCCTGTAACCTTTTATCAACCTTCTTAGCTGCCTCACATTGGGTTAGAACATGCTCCTTTAGCCCAGAGGAGTTTGTTACTACCCACCCTCTGAAGCCTACTTCTGTCAATTTGTCAATCTTATTCTCTATCCAGCTTTGTGCCCTTGTTGGAGAGATGTTGCAATCATTTGGAGAAGAAGAGGTATCTGGCTTTTAGGATTTTCAGAGTTTTTGTGCTGGTTTTTCCTCACCTTCATGGATTTATCTTCCTTTGATCTTTGAGGCTGATGACCTTTGGATGGGGTTTTTGTATGGGTCTTTTTCGTTGACGTTGTTGTTGCTTTCTGTTTGTTAGTTTTCCATCTAACAGTCAGGCCCCTCTGCTGCAGGTCTGCTGGAGTTTGCTGGAGATCCACTGCAGACCCTGTTCACCTGGGTATCACCACTGGAGGCTGCAGAACGGCCAAGATTGCTGCCTGCTTCTTCCTCTGGAAGCTTCACCCCAGAGGGGTACTGGCCTGATGCCAGCCAGTGTTCTCTTGTATAAGGTATTTGTCGAACCCTGTTAGGAGGTCTCTCCCGGTTAGGAGGCCCAGGGGTCACGGAGCCACTTGAGGAGGCAGACTGAGCCTTAGCAGAACTGGTGCGCTGTGCGGGCAGAACACCCTGGTCAGGATCAGCTGCTCTCTTTTGAGCCAGCAGGCTGGAAAGATTAAGTCCGCTGAAGCTGGGCCTGCAGTTGCCCTGCCCACAAGATGCTCTGTCCCAGGGAGATGAGAGTTTTATCTGTAAGCCCCTGACTGGGGCTGCGGCATTTCCTGCAGAGAGGCCCTATCCAGGGAGTAGCAGTCTAGAGAAGCAGTTTGGCCACAGCCACTTTTGCTGTGCTGTGGTGAATTCTGCCCAGCCTAAACTGCCCAGTTTCCTCAGGAGTGTCAGTGGAAAACCATCTACTAAAGCCTCAGTAATGGCAGATGCCCTCCTCCTACCAAGCTTGTTCATCCCAGGTTGACCCCAGACTGCTGTGCTGGCGGTGAGAATTTGAAGCCAGTGGTTCTTAACTTGCTGGGCTCCGTGGGAGTAGGGCCTGCTGAGGGAGACCACTTGGCTCCCTGGATTCAGCACCCTTTCCAGGGGAGTAGAGGGTTCTCCTGTTTCACTGGGGTTCCAGGCACGGCTGGGATACAAAAAAAACCTCCTACAGCTAGCTCAGTGCCTACCCAAATAGACGCCCAGTTTTGTGCTTGAAATCAAGGGCCCTGGTGATGTAGGCACACGAGGGAATCTCCGGATCTGCAGATTGTAAAAATCCATGGGAAAAGTGTAGTATCTGGGGCAGGTAGCACAGCCCCTCACTACTTCCCTTGTCTGGGGGAGGGAGGTCTCTAGCTCCTTGTACTTCCTGGGAGAAGCGACACCCCACCCTTCTTCGGCTTGCTCTCCGTAGGTTGCGCCCACTGCCTAACCAGCTCCAGTGAGATCAACTAGGTACCTCCCCCTTCTGCGTTTTTTTTATTGGGAGCTGCAGACTGCAGCTATTTCTATTCAGCCATCTTGGCTCCTCCATCCCAAAAATAAAAAGGTGTATGCTTTTATTATACTTGGTCTAGCTCTTTAAAAAGTAGATAACCTTTAAAAAGCACTTAAAAAGGAAATACAACAGACCATATATTCTGATTTCTTCATGGCTGAAAAAGTGTCAGATAATTCAAAGATGAGAGCATGAATGTATAGTCCATAGAAATCAGAGTAGAGCCAAAGGATTAAGTCGCTATTAATATCAACAACGTTTCAGGAAATCTCCCTACCCTACTCCTCCACCAAGCCCTGGCTGAAATCAGAACTGAAAACAGCAGGTGGTATATGGAAAGGTTTCAACTTCAGTGCTGAGAAAACTAATATTTCACAAGAACTAGAACACTGCAGGAGATCAGGAAAGAAGGAAAAATAGAAATTGCTTCAATAAAGAAGCAAGGAACATGATGTAAAGAAAGAAATATCCCTGGATCAAGCTTTCCATAAATGCTTGTTTAGGAGACTGGAGTGTAGAATTATGCCACTGGCAAATATGAATAAAAAGATACAGATACACACATATACATAGAGATACATGTGTACACATATATATGCATGTATACACATATTCCATACAAATATGGAATAAAAGCAACTTAAGGTATATAACATGATAAAGCAAATTATTTTTTATTTTCATTTTATTTTTTGAGACAGAATCTCGCTGTGTCGCCAGGCTGGAGTGCAGTGGTGTGATCTCGGCTCACTGCAACCTCTGCCTCCCGGGTTCAAGCGATTCTCCTGCCTCAGCCTCCCCAGTAGCTGGTACTACAGGCGTCTGCCAACACGTCTGGCTAACTTTTGCATTTTTAGTAGAGACGAGGTTTCACCATGTTGGCCAGGATAGTCTCGATCTGTTGACCTCGTGATCCGCCTGCCTTGGCCTCCCAAAGTACTGGGATTACAGGTGTGAGCCACTGTGCCCAGCCTACAAGTTATTTTTATAAGCAATGTATTTTCAGTATTTATGCTCAGATACATATGCATGTACACACACACACACACACACACACACACACACATATACATACATACACATATACATATGTTAATTTAATCCTCAAAAAAAACCACCTTATGGGATGATTACTAAGATTGAGGGTGGCTAACTATTATAAGGGGAGATTATAAAAAATAGGATAAGGGAAAACCTCAGCATTGCCTTCCTCTGAAACATGTCTTAGCGTATGGCTAGGTATGTTTCCTTTCATCTACTACCTGCCCTGGCCCCACCCTCCCAAAGCACTTACTTCTCTGCTTGTGAATTCTTTCTACATTCACTTCCCCTCACCTTTAATCAAGTTTGGCCACAGCTCACATGTCAACGTAATATATTTGAAATATAAAGGATATCTCCTGCTTTCCTTTCTTAACAAAGTATAATGCTGTCAAAGTATGAGGGGATTTGTGAGCTGTCAGTGATGGAAATATCAAACGAATGTGTTGGGAAATCACTGTGACTTTACGATAACAGAAGACCATACTGCTTAAACTATGTGGGTGAACTTCAATATATTTGATTAAACCCCATCAGGTATTTACTTGTCTATAGTCACCACTGCACGAACTGATAAAAATGTGGTAGCTGGCATGGATCATTAGCTTAAAGGGGTTATAGTTTTAATGGAATGAAAGATCAGAAGAAATAATACACTTAAGGCATTGCTGGTGATTCTGTAAATTCATAATAATATTTTACATAGGAATGAACTTTTATTAATTATAAATGCAAATACATTAAGTACAAATTAAAATATATTTGTGCCTATATATGCATAATATACATATTCAAATTAAATAAGTTCTAGTTTCATCCCCTTCATAAGTTTTCATAGAAAAACTTTTGTGACTATGTATAACAATGGGCAAGTTTAGCTTAAAGGGTATATTAAAATCTGATGGTCCTTATATTTATATATATATACACACATATGCATATATATACACACACATATATGTGGGTGTCTGTGGTGTGTGTATTTTGTTGTTGTTAGTATACCTCACTGATTTGACCGGAAACGTCTTAGGTAAATAAAACATAGAATCCTTAGGTTTCTTATATATCTCCCTAGAGTCTATTCAATGAGTTTTTCTTTTTAACCATAAGATGAGCTTCTCAACATTCATGACACATGTACCAGAATCATTCATTCCCATTGTTTTTTGAAAGAAACCAGTGATTTTCAGCTGACTCTCATGAATCTGACAGTCACTCTCTCTGAGTCCTATAAAGCTGTCTAAGTGATGCAAATATAACTGGCTTGTTTTAGAATACTGAATAGCATTTTTAAATTTTTATTCTTTTTTGAGATAGAGTCTTGCTCTGTTGCCCAGGTTGGAGTGCAGTGGTGCAATCTCAGCTCACTACAGCCTCTGCACCCTGGGTTCCAGTGATTTTCCTGTCTCAGCCTCCTGGGGAGCTGGGATTACAGGTATATGCCACCACACCTGGATAATTTTTGTATTTTTAGTAGAGACAGGGTTTCGCCATGTTGGCCAGGCTGGTCTCAAATTCCTAACCTCAGGTGATCCACCTGCCTCGGCCTCCCAAAGTGCTGGAATTACAGGTGTGAGTCACTGCACCCGGCCAGCATTTTCTATTATTTTTATTCAACTGAAATACACAAGGCTGGGGAAATAGAGAAAAGAACTAAAATAACTGGTATTTTAAAGAACAATCTGGTCAAATTAGTACCTTAGTCCTTAACAACCAACATAGTTGTGGTCAAGGAAAATCATAAAATTTCCTGAACACTTCAAACTTAACCTTGGGAAAAGGCTGAAGAGTAGCCATTTGTTAAGCTGAAGCTACTAATTCTGCAAATAAAATATATAAATATCACCCTACCATGCCCCTGGTAAACAAGAGAATTGAAACAAATGTTATCTATAGTAAGCAAGGCACAGTAAATATACTTTAAAATGCAGATACAGCTCATCAACTACTATAGAGTTATCTTCCAAAAAAGTAGGCAAACTAAATTTCTTACGTAAGTGATCAATTGTTAGATGTCTGAAGGAGGTTTATAAGAATAACTTATACTCTACCTTATATGAGATGAAGAATCACACAATGTTTCTCCTTCTTATGGTTCTAAGATATTCTAATTTGAACTATTCTTAAAATGAGACATATATGGAAAATGTAAGCACATATATTTGTTGAGTATTAGGAATTTTATGATTTGTCTGTATGTATATATGCATATGTACATGAATGTACAGATAATCTTCCATGTGACTCAGAACACATCTCATGGGGAATACAATTAGTCCTTACTATACATTTATGAATTAAGTTTCCATTTTTCTTTTGGCACACGAGAGGAAATAGAGACAGCATGTGAGTATAGTAAGAACAGCAGCCAGGCAGTGGCAGAACAAGAACTGGTCTTCACTTGTATTTACCTTTAATTTTCTTTTACTAGTTACACATTACTGTTCTTTATGTATTTCCTCAAAACTTCCGAACACCTGTAATCCCAGTACTTTAGGAGGCCAAGGCAGGTGGATCAGTTGTGGTCAGGCATTCAAGACCAGCCTGACCGATGTGGTGAAACCCCATTTCTACTAATACAAAATTAGCTGGGTGTGGTGGTGCACACCTGTAATCCCAGTTACTTGGGAGGCTGAGGCAGGAGAATCTCTGGAAGCTGGGAGGCAGAGGTTACAGTGAGTCAAAACCTCACCATTGTACTCCAGCCTGGGCAACAAAACAAAACTTCATCTCAGCAAAAGAAAAGAAAAAAAAATCCTTTTTCATTTACATTTTCCAAATGAAAAATCAGATGTGTACTAGCTGCAAATATGTACTCTCAACATAGAAATTGCATTTAAGATAACCATATAGTAATACTTGGTCCATTTCCTATATTTCAATCTTGAAATAAATTGTTGGTAAAGGTCACAGTGAACACTTTCCCTTTTTCTGTAACAAACTTCCAGTACTAGCTCATAATTGAAGCATTTCATGTTATTTCTTTCCTGGTATCTCTACCATTTCTGTTTATTAACATTTGATGACAAATCCCTTGTTATTAGTTTTGTGAATTGTATACCACTAGCACCATATTTTCTATCAACAAATTTCTGTTAGCATCTGGTGATATCTTAATGCCTACAATCTTCTGTTATATCCTGCTTGGCTTCAGAGCAGATAAGAAGGCAGTAACGTGGAACTGAATGAAGAAAGGTAAAATATGATACCGAAAATGCCTTTTTATTGTTCTTTCTCTATATACTGCAATATAACAAACGTATGCACACATGCGTGTGTGTGTGTGTGTATAGATTTTTTTATGTGTGTGACTATAACTCTGATTCTGAGTTCTGGACCCAGTGATAAGCTACTGAGCTTTGCTAGCCTGTGCAAGTGCCCACACGTGTTTCCAATAATTAGTAGCTTCTTGAGCTATTACTGACATATTTTCACATTTTGTGTCTCCTCTTTGAAAACAGTTATGATTTTAGTCATTTATTGCAATTAAATCTTGTAAAGTGTGCTGTATTTTATTTTGAAAAACAATGGCATCATGTCAAATAATTAACTTGTGTTCTCTTTACACACAGATTTGCTTTTCGTTAGCTTCTAAGTTAACTACCCAGCTACTGATAAGCTTTTCTGTTGTATGAATAGTCGTGTTTACCACTGCCCCATGGATGCTTACTCTTGTTTTTTTAAATATAATGTTATTTGCTTCCCTTTTATTTCTTTAATATGTAGAACATAATATTTTGACATAAAATTTGTAACATGGTAGGCCAATGCAGGCTATCTTAGACTTTGTATTACTTTCCACTTACTAGCAATCTATCCACTTTTTGTTTTGTTTTGTTTTTGAGACGGAGTCTTGCTCTGTCACCCATGCTGGAGTGCAGTGGCATGACATTAGCTCACTGCAACCTCTGCTTCCTGGGTTCAAGCAAGTCTCCTGCCTCAGCCTCCGGAGTAGCTGGGATTACAGGCGCATACCACCACACCCGATTAACTTTTGTATTTTTAGTAGAGACGAGGTTTCACCATGTTGGTCAGGCTGGTCTCCAACTCCTGACCTCAAACGATCTACCCGCCTCAACCTCCCAAAGTGTTGGAATTACAGGCTTGAGCCACCATGCCCGGCCTAATCTATCCATTTTTAATCATTTCTCATTTTACCAGTGAGACTAGTCAATGGCAATTTCCAAATACACTTCCAGGGACAATGCTGAAGTTACACTTTAATATTTGATTAAAAATTCATAATGATGCCCCAAATTTATGAACTATTATACAACATATTTTGATGTTACATCTATTTCAGCTATCTCCTAGAGAGTATAATTTACTTTTTAACTTTATGTCTTTTTTTAAATTAAAGAAGTGATCAAGTGGCACATATCTATCAAAACTTACATGTGGTTTTCTCCTAAACTTTCATGCTCCATAAGCCCAGCCCTAAGCCCAGCCCTATTGTCTAATCTATCCTAAGATTAGACAACAGTCACCTAGGCTTTGTTGTCCTTCATTGATTCATTTTATTAGCTTTTGCTTTTTAATCAATATAAAATTTATTTTAGAATATGGTAAGGTTGGGACCACACTCCCAAACCAAATGGTTTAACCAATTATTACAGAACTCTTAGGTAATCCATACTTGAGGAAGGTGGTTATACAGTTTAGGAAACAATTTTGAATGATCTTAAAAATAGGCATTCTTAATAATGTGGGCTCTTTCTCTTGCTGACATAATTAATATGCTCCTGTATACTGTTAAGCTATAAAATGGTTCATTTAATCACATTTAATTGAGTTTAAGATTTTATACTTAATTCAAGCCTAAACTCTATAAAGATACTATTTATTCTTTCCTCTCCCCTCTCATCATGATGTTTGAAGTAGCAGATGATCTGGACAGGTGAAATCACTAAAACAAATTCAACAATTTGAAAACATTTCTAGGCTATTAATATGGAAATGGGATGTTTTACTAAGAATCATATCATTATCTGGGAGGGAAGGGAGAACCCATTTTTAGTACTAATATGCAAAGAGAAATATTACTGTAGAGCTGAAATATGGAACAAATGGAAGACTTGCAGTCATATGACCTGAGGGTCTAAATCTGACTCTGCGACTTACTAGCTAGTTCTCCTGCTTTGGACACATTACTTAAAGTATCTGAGCTTCGGTACGTCATCCACAAAATGGGAGTAAGAGCAAATATGTCCTCACAGTGTTTTCAGAAAAAACAAAGTCTGACAATGTATGTAAAAGATACACAATACCAAAAAGAAATAAACAGTTGATTATATAAAGTATCATAGAAATATATAATATTATAACCAAACTAACTTATTTATAGACCAGAAATTAGAACCCATAATTCATGGATTTAAATTTTCCAACTGGCTTGATTGCCTAATTCCAGCAGGGAAAGCAAAGAGACTATAGGTAGTTCCTTGAGTCAGACCATATTTTGTGAGAAAGCTAAAATCTTGCTTGATAAAAAGCAAAATAAAATAAATGGATATGACATGTAATTAAAAGTATTATACAAGTACATTTTCCATTCAACTTGTCAGCATAAACTTCACCAGAAAATGAAATCGCTTTTCCAGCACCAGGAGGCAACCAAGTAGAATGCAATCTATGTCTTTATAAATGATACCAACGGGTAGATAACTTAGTCTTAGTACAAGGACAATAAAAGGCCTTGAATTTTTGACAAGACAAATGTACCTTTAATTCAGTTTAATAAGATAAATCAATAATTAAAATGTGCTTGAGAAACTAACTGCATAATGAAGGTAACCAAATGAAGTACTGGCATATCAAAATATAGGAAGTATAAATCTGGTTAAAGAAGAAAAATAAAATTGACAAAGTTCAAGTTAATTTAAGAATAGAAATGTGGGCCAGGCACGGTAGCTTACGCCTGTAATCCCAGCACATTAGGAGGCCAAGGCTGGAGGATTGCTTGAGCTGAGGAGTTTGAGGCCAGCCTGCCCAACATGGTGAAACCCAATCTCTGCAAAAAATACAAAACTTAGCTTGGCATGGTGGCGAGCGCCTGTGGTCCTAACTACTAAGGAGGCTGAGGTGGGAGAACTGCTTGAGCCCAGGAGGTTGAGGCTGCAGTGAGCTGAGATGGTACCACTGCACTCCAGCCTGAGCAACACAGCAAGACCCTGTCAAAAAAAAAAAAAAAAAAAAAAAAAAACAGAGAGAGAAAAAAAAAACTGTATTATTTAGGAAAAAGAGAGGGAATTTGTTGCTTTGAATTCAGAGCTGTGGACTAGGAATATGAATGTGCAGGTTCTAGTTTTAATTCCATGATTTTTCCTGGTAGTGATTCTTAAGTAACTCTTGACTTCTCTTAGGCCTTACTTTTCTCAATTATGAAATAAGAAGATTAAACTAGACCAGTTGTTTTCAGGTGTTAGGATTTCAGAAACTATGCAGAAAAAGGAAAGACAGTTTCTATACTGCCCTGTTAGGCTATTATTTTAAGAGGAAAATTCCTACCAGCTATCATCACCATCATCTCATAAAAGTAGGATATTTCATTATGAAAAAATACGCAAAGGAAATAGTCTCAGAATAAATGAGCAGTTCTTCATATTAAATATATTTGGCTAAAATTTGTGTGTTTTAAATTGTCATTTACAGACTGATGAAAACTTCACAGGTTGACACTGGTTCACAGAACAGTGTTTTAGTAAATGGAATCTAAGGGCACATCTAACTCATATTCTATGGCTCATCTCTTTTTGAATACTCTCTTACGTTACAAAATAAGTATATGCATGGATTAAAAAAACAGGTATTAGTGTTAAAGGTATTATTGGGCATTAGGGGTGGAGATAAAGAGAGCTTCTACTTTTAAAAAAGTACTTCTTTTTTTTTTGTTTGTTTGTTTGTTTGTTTGTTTGAGACAAAGTCTTGCTCTGTTGCCCAGGCTATAGTGCAGTAGCACGATCTCAGGTCACCACAACCTCCACTTCCCAGGTGTAAGTAATTCACCTGCCTCAGACTCCCGAGTAGCTGGGACTACAGGTATGAGCCACCATGCCCGGCTAATTTCTGTATTTTTAGTAGAGACAGGGTTTCACTATGTTGGCTAGGCTGGTCTCAAACTCCTGACCTTGTGATCCATCCATCTCGGCCTCCCAAAGCTGTGATTACAGGTGTGAGCAACTGCACCTGACAAAAGTGTTTATTTTTCATTGTGCCAAGGCAAAGAGTCTTGTCTGAAATAAATTCTTGTTTTGGTGTGGCCATTTTAGTTTTAGGTTCATGGACATACTAATATTCAGTTTTTCACTGCTTCCTTTTGAGATAATTAGAGTAGAATCATATTCATCTTTTCAGCATTTATTTGGAGGGCAGCAAAGCTCATGCTGCTATTCAGTCACTTTCCTTTCTTCTCCCTTATTTCCCTAAGATCTAACTATAAACTGACAGTATTATGAAAATCAAAAATTAAGGGAACTAAAGTATAAAAAGTATCTTGCTTGTGTTACACTTGGAAATCATATAAACAGAATGCTAATGAATGACTGTAGGCTTTTAAGGGTTATTTTCCAAACTTAGTAGGGTAATTAACATATCATGCTAATACAAATATTAATAGAAATGTAGTTACAATTTGAGCAGACTGAAGCCTACACCCTGCTTTCTAGAGCTGAGAGTAGAGTAGGACTACATTCCTTAAGCCTGATTTCCAGAGAAGATACAAAATGCTTTCTTGGTGTCTATCCCACCAGAGATTTTGAAAGGAAGAACTCTGAAGGAAAAAATCCAACAAATGTGCAATTTTAAAAAATTTCTACACTTGCTCTTAGCCAAAAGGCTAAGAAGCAATACATTTTTATTTCTCTTCTTTTTTTTTTTTTTTTTTTGAAACAGTTTTAATCTTGTTGCCCAGGCTGGAGTGCAATGGCATGATCTTGGCTCATTATAACCTCCGCCTCCCAGGTTCAAGTAATTTTCTTCCCCCAGTGTCCCAAGTAGCTGGAATTACAGGCATGCGCCACTATTCACAGCTAATTTTGTATTTTTAGTAGAGACAGGGTTTCACCACGTTGGTCAGGCTGGTCTTGAACTCCTGACCTCAGGTGATCCACCCGCCTGGGCCTCCCAAAGTGTTGGGATTACAGGCGTGAGCTACCTCCCCCGGCCCATTTTTATATCTATGTATAGGAGTCAGGTCCACTTAGCATTTGAAAGAGGGGACTACTGCACAGAGAACTACGTAGGGAAAGGAAGAGGACTTTATGGGATTGGGACAAATAACTTTGCCGTCTGACTTCAGATAATGGACTGGGGTGAGGATTGGCAGTGATTCCAGAAACCAGTATCTTTAACACTCTCTTGCTAACTAGGGAGCAACATGGGACAGCATCTCTAGTGAGGCTGACCCTCATGTCATCCTTCTGAAGTTGCTAAGATGTGTACTTTGAAAGTTTCTAAATGTTACGCAATATGAAGTTGAAACTCTATTGGTCCTATTAAGGGTAGATGTTTTTAAATTCTCAGCACTCTGCTGAAACAAAGGCAGCCCACAGAAAAACCTTTAAACCTTCGAAACCCTTTCCCAATCTGGACTGGCATAATATCCTAGAAGCAAAAATCCGTTCCTCTACCCTGGTTATGGCCCATACTCCTATAAGTAAAAACCTCTAACAGTCAAGGTATGAGCACTCTGGCGACCAGTGCATTGCACAAACACAAAGAATGGGGCTACAAATTCTATGAAGTCACACCGAATTTGGTTGAAAAACAGAGCACATCATCAGTGGTGAAGCAAATGACGAGAAACCTAGAAACCAAGAGATTACATTCTAAATGTTTCTGCTACTTCTTCATTATTTAAGGCTGTTAAAGCCGTTTTTGATACTGTCTATGTGAAACAGACATTTTCTAATAGCACCAGAGTTTTTCTCCTGAGCCAAAACACCCATGCACGTAGGATACAACTTAACAAGCCAAGTAAAAGTGCCCAGAGTTTGAGTAGGCAGCCTTTATCGCCTACGTGTTGACAATCTCTGCCTCTGCTCTTGCCCTACCAACACTGCAATCATCATTCCTGCCGAGTTAAGCACCTCTCCAGAGCCTTGACCTTCAGAGGCAAGTAACTCAAACCGCAAACCAGCTTTAAAGGTTACATTTTCTCACAATAAATCCTACTCGCTTTTTATTTTCTTTTTGGTTAGGCAGCAAGAGGGATTTTTTTTTTAAAACTGCCTCTTATTTTTTAACCTTTTTCTTCATTTAGTAGAGACATTAATTTTGTAATATTGGCCATAGGGGTTGGCAATTTTTAATAAATAAAATGTTTTTATTTACACATT